GATAGATAGATAGATAGATAGATAGATAGATAGATAGATAGATAGATAGATAGATAGATAGATAGATAGATAGATAGATAGATAGATAGATAGATAGATAGATAGATAGATAGATAGATACATGGATTGATGGATAGATGGATGGATGGATAGATGATAGATTGATAGATGGATAGATGGATAGATGGGTAGATGGGTAGATGGGTAGATGGGTAAATGGGTAGATGGGTCGATAGATAGATATGCGGAAGAAAGTCAGTGACGGAATATGTCACTTTTTCACTGGGGCGTTAAAAAAGATTGGATTCGTTTTTAGAATGTATGCATAGAGACTAAAAAATAAAAGTGCTGTTACGGGTGGCTGCACATGTACTCCATTAAAACTTAGCTATAAATTCTGATTCACTTCTCTTCAACGAATGTTGCTGATTTTTTTTTTTGTTAGACACAGTGTGTTTATTTTCACTGAAAAAAATTTTTTTTCACTATTTTAGTTTAAAACTGCTGATTGAGAGATGTGTTCCAAACATAATAATAAAACTATGATGCTATGTCATGTACAATCACCATATTTATATTCACTGAACCATTTTGAAAAAACCTTTCAGCCATTTAATTCGTTCAAGCGTGAATGCACAAGGCGCATGGATACAGGGTAAAGCTCTAAGGCTAAGGATCACCACTATTTTATAGAGGGCCACGCATCGCCAGCATTACGTCTTGTTGTAAGATTAAACGCTGGGTTGTGATTTCTGGGCATCAGAACGCAAACCTTATACCAAAGATGCTTTAGCAAATATGGAAGGCACTAGCAAATATTCCCGAAGCTTCCAGGACATTCATGCAGGGCTGCTGCTCATTGTATAGCATGAAATGAAGAACCTTCTAAAAAAAAAAAAAAACGCTTTTGCTAAAATGAAAGATTTAAAATTTTTAAATATGTACATTAAAAAAATTAACATTGCTTTTTTTTTGTCAAGATGAAATATTATAGTTATGACAGAAGAAATTTATAATGTTTTTTTTGTTTTTTTTAATGTGACTAAAATTGAAACGGCTAAGTTATTATTTTTTTAAATTATAAATTGAATGGGTCACTTTCATTTTTTTGAACCAATGAAAAAAAAAACGCCTTCAATTTACTTAAATATTTAATTTCCTTTTAACACATTTAAAAAAAATTAAAGCCCAAATTAAAAAAAAAATATTACGTTTTTAATAAACTAAAAAGTTTAAAATAATAAATATTTATACTTTTTAGTGCATAAAAAAATAAATGTGTAGATGTTTTGTTAAGGTTTTAAATCTCTTTAAAACTTTTTTTTCTTCAAAATAACATAATTTTAAAATAAATAATAATGTTTTTAAAAAATGAATAAAGCCTCAGAAAATCGTATCACCTTCTGATTAAGTTAACAAAATGCTGAGCTTTAAATATTTCACAAATTACTGGAGACAAAAATCAAGTACGACAAAACTTTTGAAAAAAAAACCTTCTTTCAATGAAACCAAAACGCGCAAGGGCTCCAATTTTTTAGAACCGCTGCTACACTACTCTCCTAAGAGTTCATCGGCCACACAGGCTTATCGGGTGTTAGCAGGGACGTCACCAAATTAACGGAAACCCAAACCCCGAGCTTCTAGGTCGGATATTTCACTGTCGCTTAACGAAAAGTTACCTTTTGGATTAGTTAAGAATTACTGTTATAGGAAACAGAACTTCACAATTGATCGTAATCTGGCCAAGAAATGTGACTAAACTTTAGACTTAGTTTTTAGCCATCGTAAACAAAGGTAACTGTTGGTAGGGATTCGGTATCGCTTAGCGAGGTAAGTAACACAATGAAATATAAGAATTTAATGTTTAAAATATATATTGATTTTATTTTAAACTTTATCTCAATATTTTCTTTTAAACTTGATATCAACAAGTGTAAATTTTGCGCGATAACTAAGATACATATATATCTATCTATCTAAGATGCATATGGTTAATGTTATTAGGACATGGAGCAAAGAATACATGATGATAGGACAGGATGATAGGAGATGATGATGGGACATGAAAACATGATAGGATGATAGGACATGATGATAGGATATGATAATATGACATGATGATAGGACCGGATGATAGAACATAATGATAGTACATGATAATATGGCATGATGATATGACATGATGAGAGTACATGATGACAGGACATGATGATAGAACATGATGATAGAACATGATGATAGGACACGTTGATAGGACATGATTATATGACAGGATGCTGGGACAGGATGATAGGTCATGATAATATAACATGATGATAGGACAGGATGATAGTACATGATGATAGGACATGATGATAGAACATGATGATAGGACATGATGATAGGACATAATGGTAGGACATGATGATAGGACATGTTGGTAGGAAATGATGGTAGGACATGATGATAGGATAGGATGATATGACAGAGTGAAAGGACATATTAATATTACAAAATGATAGGACATTATTGTAGTACAGGATGATATGACATGTTTTGTTTTTTTAAATAGTTGATGAATTAAATCTGCATTGTAAAAGTGAGTGGGTCATTAGAATATTAATTATAAAATAAAATTTAAAAAAATGCATATGATGGATTATGCCGCAAAAAGACCTTTGGTTTTAAGGGTTGTTTCATTTCATATTTAAAAAGAAAAAGTTATCCCGTATAACTGACTTCTAAACTGAGCATCTTTTTCAATTAATAATAATGATTATTCGAATTACAAATAATGAGTATTCGAATCTCCAACAGCAGACGCCGGAGAGCGCTAGTAAGTTCTGTCATATAGAGAATCAAATTACTCTCTGTATTGTTTTGTCATCACTGGTAGCAACAGCAAAACATGTGAGTTGATCCCGAGGAACATTGATGCGGGGGAATGTATTCGTCTTTGATGCAGTGTGTTCTATTCGTCTTTAATGCTGTAGGTTCTATTCATCTTTGATGAAGTGTGTTCTATTCGTCTTTGATGCAAGGGGTTATATTAATATTTGATGCAGTGAGTTCTACTCGTCTTTGATGCTCTGAGTTCTATTCATCTTTGATGAAGTTTGTTCTATTCATCTTTGATGCAGTGGGCTCTATTCATCTTTGATGCAGTGAGTTCTACTCGTCTTTGATGCTCTGAGTTCTATTCATCTTTGATGCAGTGAGTTCTATTCTTCTTTGATTCTGTGGGTTTTATTCATCTTTGATGCAGTGAATTCTATTTGTCTTTGATGCTGTGGGTTCTATTCATTTTTGATGAAGTGTGTTCTATTCATCTTTGATGCAGTGGGCTCTATTCATCTTTGATGCAGTGAGTTCTACTCGTTTTTGATCCTGTGGGTTCTATTCATCTTTGATGCAGTGGGTTCTATTCATCTTTGATGCAGTGAGTTCTACTCGTCTTTGATGCTGTGGGTTTTATTCATCTTTGATGCAGTGAGTTCTACTCGTCTTTGATGTTTTGGGTTTTATTCATCTTTGATGCAGTGAATTCTATTTGTCTTTTTGATGCTGTGGGTTCTAGTCATCTTTGATGAAGTTTGTTCTATTCATCTTTGATGCAGTGGGCTCTATTCATCTTTGATGCAGTGAGTTCTACTCGTCTTTGATGCTCTGAGTTCTATTCATCTTTGATGCAGTGAGTTCTATTCTTCTTTGATTCTGTGGGTTTTATTCATCTTTGATGCAGTGAATTCTATGTGTCTTTGATGCTGTGGGTTTTATTCATCTTTGATGCAGTGAGTTCTACTCGTCTTTGATCCTGTGGGTTCTATTCATCTTTGATGCAGTGGGCTCTATTCATCTTTGATGCAGTGAGTTCTACTCGTCTTTGATGTTTTGGGTTTTATTCATCTTTGATGCAGTGAATTCTACTTGTCTTTTTGATGCTGTGGGTTCTAGTCATCTTTGATGCAGTGGTTTCTATTCATCTTTTTTTTTTCCAGGGACTATGAAGGCAAGAAAATGGTTCCGGTGCTTCGGTATAAACTTTCGCCCCATTTTTTATGTCCTGGCCGTGATGGTGATCTTGGGCTTTGCCAGATTTTTAGTCGTCACGAGGGTAGACAGACGTCAAGGTCTAAAAAATAAGATCGCGGTCACAGCGGGAGACACACTTAGACAACAGAAACCCGGGAGTCAACGTTGGCTGGACAAGATGCTGACTGGACGTTGGGTACCGACAAAGTACACGTCACAGGAGATGGACGAGTTGGAAAATTTTCATAAACGGGCCTGGAAACATCATAAAATACCCGTCAGCTTACAGCGTGAGGATAAGAAATGTGGTAAGGGAGTGGTATACAGGTGTGATTACCGGATTGCCAACCGTGCGTGAAATTACGGATAATGCGTAAAAATGTTGACCTAATTTACTTGACCGTAAAAGTCCGTAAGAACTTTTTTTTTTTTTTTTAAAAAAAAGGTTTTTAAAAAAATTCATCAGAGTATGAAAAAAATTAAACAAAACCAAAAAAAAATAAATGTTTGGAAAAAATAATGCGGGGAAACGCAGGGGTCACTGCGATGAGGTCTTGCTTGATTTAACTTTGGTCATAAAGAAGAGGAACTCAACACTGATGCAGATACGTTACGACGAACGACGTTACAACATAGGGTTATAGAAACATGTGATATACTATGTGATACGGAGTCATTAAAACATGATACAAAGAATATTTTTTTTTTAAATAATGTTATAGTTTGAGCAAGAATATGTTGTTTTAGATGTCCATATTTTTTTTAAAAATAATGTTATAGTTTGAGCAAGAATATGTTGTTTTAGATGTCCATATTTTTTTAAAAATTATGTTATAGTTTGAGCAAGAATATGTTGTTTTAGATGTCCATATTTTTTTTAAAAATAATGCTATAGTTTGAGCAAGAATATGTTGTTTTAGATGTCCATATTTTTTTTTAAAATAATGTTATAGTTTGAGCAAGAATATGTTGTTTTAGATGTCCATATTTTTTTTAAAATAATGTTATAGTTTGAGCAAGAATATGTTGTTTTAGATGTCCATATTTTTTTTGAAAATAATGTTATAGTTTGAGCAAGAATATGTTGTTTTAGATGTCCATATTTTTTTTTAAATAATGTTATTGTTTGAGCAAGAATATGTTGTTTTAGATGTCCATATTTTTTTTTAAAATAATGTTATAGTTTGAGCAAGAATATGTTGTTTTAGATGTCCATATTTTTTTTAAAATAATGTTATAGTTTGAGCAAGAATATGTTGTTTTAGATGTCCATATTTTTTTTTAAAATAATGTTATTGTTTGAGCAAGAATATGTTGTTTTAGATGTCCATATTTTTTTTAAATAATGTTATTGTTTGAGCAAGAATATGTTGTTTTAGATGTCCATATTTTTTTTTTAAATAATGTTATTGTTTGAGCAAGAATATGTTGTTTTAGATGTCCATATTTTTTTTAAAAATAATGTTATAGTTTGAGCAAGAATACGTTGTTTTAGATGTCCATATTTTTTTAAAAAATAATGTTATAGTTTGAGCAAGAATATGTTGTTTTAGATTCCATATATTTTTTTAAATAATGTTATTGTTTGAGAAAGAATATGTTGTTTTAGATGTCCATATTTTTTTATTTTTTTTTTGGTTATTAAAATTCTCCTTTTAAAAAAAAAAGGGGTGGGGGGGAACCCTGGTGAATAACTATGGGTGAAGCAAACTGCGTATAATTAGTGTGCATTTTTATATAATACAATTTCAAGTTTAAAAACTACAAATTTTTTTTACGTTCTTTTTTATTGATTTTAAAAAAAAAAACACACACAAAAAAAAATTCTTTTCATTCAGGAAATGTGTCGTTTCCTAATCTGTTCTGGTTCAGGGCGGTATGTGATCCCAGGGGCGGCACCCCGTGCTGCATGAACAGCTTTTGTGTGGATAAACCTGTCCAAGAGTGTCAATGTCCTGAATGTTATGACCTGAGACAGCCCGTTCATGCTGAGTTTTCCAAATGGGAACCCCAGGATGCCGCCGTCCAGGTCAGTGGAAATCTCTCCCCCTCTCTTTATCACTCTCTCTCTCTCTCTTATACTCTCTCCCCCTCTCTCTATCACTCTGTCTCTCTCTCTCTCTCTTACACTCTCTCTCGCCCTCTCTCTATTGCTCTCTCTTTCTCTCTTATACTCTCTCTATCACTCTCTCTCTTATACTCTCTCTCTTTTATACTCCCTCTCTCCCCTCTCTCTATCACTCTCTCTCTCTCTCTCTTTGTCTCTATCTCTATCACTCTCTCTCTCTCTCTCTCTCTTTCCATATATTTCATTTAAAAATAAATGTGAGGTATTATTATTTTGATATTTAGAGTGTCCTCTTATGAAATAAGAACTGCTGTTATACCTAACTGATTAACACATAAAATGTGCTTCATATACCACAAAAAATCCGTTCGACATCATGGAGTAACTGGTTCGCCTTGCGTCGCTTTCCATTATTTTTTTTTTTTAAACTCGTTCTGAGCCGAAGCCGGAGGTATTGAAAGCAATCATAATAATCAGAGCATGACACCTATTTTCCCAACACTATTTTCTGAACAGTGTGTTAAGCCAGCATTACCGCAACTGCGCCCAATCTGACCATTAGAAGAAGTTTGGGACATAACCTCTTGCTGTTATTATTTTTTAATTCAATAAATAAGTTCTGCCGTTTTCCAAATCTGTGTGAGTTATCAAATTTTAATTAAACTTATAATTACCAAAAATGCAAAAACTAATCATTTTAATATATGTTTTATGTGAATTTAAAAAAAAAATTCATTCATTGTTTAAAAGTGTTATATTTGCTTATGTGAATATTGCTTTATCAGTACTGAAAACAAAATTACTACAGAACTATTACGGTAGCTCAAATTCTTTTTTTTTTATTTCACTCTTAGCTTCATTCTCATTTTTTTTGTTTACCTCGGAATTGCACATGACAGCCTAGATGATATTTGCTATCATTTCCCGTCTTATCAAGTATCTTCTTTTTTTTTTTCAGTGAATTTTATTTTTTTCCTTTCTACATCTAAAGCACCAATATTAAAAAAGTCGTTAATGCTAAAATTATTTTTCTTATAGGCTTGTAATCTTTTAAATGTACATAATAACACTTTTAAGGTTCCAAAAAAAAATTTTTTTTTAGTTGAATTCCCACCTAGTTGATTGCCCACCTAATTCATTTCCAACCTAGTTGATTTCCTACCTAGATGACTGTCTACCTAGTTGACTGTCTACCTAGTTGACTGTCTACCTAGTTAACTGCCCACCTAGTTGACTGCCCACCTAGTTGACTTCCCATCTAGTCACTGTCCATCTAGTTGCCCCCCTTGTTAACTGCCCACCAAGTTGAATAACCATATAGTTGCCCACCAAGTTAAATGCCCACCTAGTTATCTGGCCACCTACTTAACTGCCCACCTAGTTGATAGACCATCGATTTTCCCCCCTACTTAACTGACCACCAAGTTAACTGCCCACCTAGTTAACTGCCCACCTAGTTGAATGACCATCAAGTTGCGCCCCTAGTTAACTGCCCACCTAGTTAACTGCCCACCTAGTTAACTGCCCACCTAGTTGACTGCCCACCTAGTTAACTGCCCACCTAGTTAACTGCCCACCTAGTTAACTGCACACCTAGTTGACTACCCACCTAGTTAACTGTCCACCTAGTTTACTGCCCACCTAGTTGACTGCCTACCTAGTTAACATCCCACCTAGTTAACGGACCACCTAGTTGAATGACCATCTAGTTGCCCACCTAGTTAACTGACCACCTAGTTGAAAGACCATCTAGTTGCCCCCCTAACTAACTGACCAACTAGTTGAATGACCACTTAGTTGACTGCCCACCTAGTTAACTGACCACCTAGTTGACTGCCTACCTAGTTAACTGACCACCAAGTTGAATGACATCCTAGTTGAATGACCACTTAGATGCCAACCTAGTTAACTGACCACCTAGTTGAATGACCACCTAGTTGCCCCACTAGTTAACTGACCACCTAGTTGAATGACCATCTAGTTGCCCACCTAGTTAACTGCCCACCTAGTTGAATGACCATCTATTTGCCCACCTAGTTAAATGAACACCTAGTTGAATGACCACCTAGTTGACCCCTAGTTAACTGACCACCTAGTTGAATGACCATTTAGTTGACTGCCCACCTAGTTAACTTACCACCTAGTTGACTGACCACCTAGTTAACTGACCACCTAGTTGAATGACCACTTAGATGCCCACCTAGTTAACTGACCACCTAGTTAACTGACCACCTAATTAACCCCCTAGTTAACTGACCACCTAGTTGAATGACCACCTAGTTGCCACCCTAGTTAACTGGCCACCTAGTTGAATGACCATCTAGTTGCCCACCTAGTTAAATGACCACCTAGTTGAATGACCACCTAGTTGCCCCCCTAGTTAACTGACCACCTAGTTGAATGACCATCTAGTTGCCCACCTAGTTAACTGCCCACCTAGTTGACTGCCCACCTATTTGAATGACCATGTAGTTGCCCCCCCAATAACTGCCCACCTAGTTAGCTGCCCACCTAGTTGAATGACCATCTAAATGCCCGCTAGTTAAATACCCACCTAGTTAACTGCCCACCTAGTTAAGTACCCACCTAGTTGACTGCCCACCTAGTTAACTGTCCACCTAGTTGACTGCCCACCTAGTTAACTGCCCACCTAGTTAACTGCCCACGTAGTTAACTGCCAACCTAGTTAACTGCCACCTAGTTAACTGCCCACCTAGTTAACCGCCCACCTAGATAACTACCCACCTATATGACTGCCCACCTAGTTAACTGCCCACCTAGTTAACTGCCCACCTAGTTAACTGCCCACCTAGTTAACTGCCCACCTAGTTAACTGCCCACCTAGTGTACTGCCCACCTAGTTGAATGACTATCTAGTTGCCCACATATTTAACTGCCCACCTAGTTAACTGCCCACCTAGTTAATGGCCCACCTAGTTTACTGCCTACCTAGTTAACTGCCAACCTAGTTGAATGACCATCCAATTGCCCCCCCTTTTAAACTGCCCACCTAGTTAACTGCCCACCTAGTTAACTGCCCACCTAGTTAAGTGCCCACCTATTTAACTTCCCACCTAGTTAACTGCCCAACTATTTAACTGCCCATCTAGTAAACTGCCCACCTAGTTAACTGCCCACCTAGTTAACTTCCCACCTAGTTAACTGCCCACCTAGTTAACTGCAACCTAGTTAACTGCCCACCTACTTAACTACCCACCTAGTTAACTACCCACCTAGTTGACTGCCCACCTAGTTGACTGCCCACCTAGTTAACTGCCCACCTAGTTAACTGCCCACCTAGTTAACTGCCCACCTAGTTAACTGCCTCCTAGTTAACTGCCCACCTACTTAACTGCCCACCTAGTTAACTACCCACCTAGTTGACTGCCCACCTAGTTGACTGCCCACCTAGTTAACTGCCCACCTAGTTAACTGCCCACCTAGTTAACTGCCCACTTAGTTAACTGCCCACCTAGTTAACTGCCCACCTAGTTGACTGCCCACCTAGTTAAATGACCATCTAGTTGCCCACATAGTTAACTGCCTACCTAGTTAACTGCCTACCTAGTTAATGGCCCACCTAGTTTACTGCCCACCTAGTTAATTGCCCACCTAGTTAACTGCCCACATAGTTGAATGACCATCTAGTTGCCCCCTAGTTGACTGCCCACCTAGTTGAATGACCATCTAGTTGCCCCCCTAGTTAACTGCCCACCTATTTAACTCCTACCTAGTTAATTGCTCACCTAGTTGAATGACCATCCAGTTGCCCCCTTTTAAACTGCCCACCTAGTTAACTGCCCACCTAGTTAACTGCCCACCTAGTTTACTGCCCGCATAGTTAACTTTCCACCTGGTTAACTAACCACCTATTTAACTGCCCATCTAGTTAACTTCCCACCTAGTTAACTGCCCACCTAGTTAACTGCCCACCTAGTTAACTGCCACCTAGTTAACTGCCCACCTAGTTAACTGCCCACCTAGTTAACTGCCCACCTAGTTAACTGCCCACATAGTTAACCTCCCAACTAGTTAACTGCCCAACTATTTAACTGTCCATCTAGTTAACTCCCCACCTAGTTAACTGCCCACCTAGTTAACTGCCCCCCTAGTTAACTGCCCACCTAGTTAACTGCCCACCTAGTTAACTGCCCACCTAGTTAACTGCCCACCTAGTTAACTGCCCACCTAGTTAACTGCCCACCTAGTTGACTGCCCACCTAGTTAACTGCCCACCTAGTTGACTGGCCACCTATTTGACTTCCCACCTAGTTGACTGCCCACCTAGTTAACTGCCCACCTAGTTAACTGCCCACCTAGTTAACTTCCCACCTAGTTAACTGCCCACCTAGTTAACAGCCCACCTAGTTAACTGCCCACCTAGTTGACTGGCCACCTAGTTAACTGCCCACCTAGTTAACTGCCCACCTAGTTAACTGCCCACCTAGTTAACTGCCCACCAAGTTGAAGGACCATCTAGTTGACATAATATATCGCAATTTTGCTCTTGAATGCCGGAAAAAAGACATAGTAAAATCGTATCTCAAGTCTCTGAGACAGTAATTTACACACTCCCATCTTGTACTTACAGACTTGTTCAAGCATCGAATCTCTCCATTGGGTTATAATATATAGGTCACCTTGATTTTGGGAATGATCTATCCGGCACTCATTTCCACACACCCCAATCCACCCCAGCCTAGATCTTTTTTATCGAACGTCGTCAAAAAAAAAAAAAATTGCCATCCGTTGTTACTTGCATACAGCGAATGTTTCACAAAATTAACATTTCCTGCGAATGTAAAACTTTATGAATTTTTGGGTTATAATATATAGGCTCCCTTGATTTTGGGAATGACCTATCCGGCACCCATTTCCACACCCCCCAATCCACCCCAGCCTAAATCTTTTTTATCGAACGTCGTAAAAAAAAAAAAAAAAAATTGCCATCCGTTGTTACTTGCATACAGCGAATGTTTCACAAAATTAACATTTCCTGCGAATGTAAAACTTTATGAATTGAATCTCGAAATGCGAGGCGAAATAAAGTCAGTCTCCGACATGTTTACCAATGTGAAGGCAGCTTGTCTCCGACATGTTCACCAATGTGAAGGCAGCTTGTCTCCAACATGCCCACCAATGTGAAGGCAGCTTGTCTCCGACATGTTCACCAATGTGAAGGCAGCTTATCCCCGACATGTCCATCAATGTGAAGGCAGCTTGTCTCCGACATGTCCACCAATGTGAAGGCAGCTTGTCTCCGACATGTCCACCAATGTGAAGGCAGCTTGTCCCCGACATGCTCACCAATGTGAAGGCAGCTTGTCCCCGACATGCTCACCAATGTGAAGGCAGCTTGTCCCCGACATGTTCACTAATGTGAAGGCAGCTTGTCCCCGACATGCTCACCAATGTGAAGGCAGCTTGTCCCCGACATGTCCATCAATGTGAAGGCAGCTTGTCCCCGACATTTTTATAATGAAGAATTATATGATATGATGAAAGGACATGGTGATAGGCCATTTGGATAGGGCATTGTGATAGGACATTGTGATAGGGCATTGTTATAGGGCATGTTGATAGGACATAATGATAGGACATGGTGGTAGGACATGTTAATAGGACATTTTAATAGGAGATGGTGATAGGGCATGATAGGACTTGTTGATTAGGGTATGTTTATAGGACATGAAGCACTCTATGTAGCACTCTATGTAGCACTCTATGTAGCGCTCTATGTTGCACTCTATGTAGCACTGTATGTACCACTATGTGTAGCACTCTATGTACCACTCTATGTAGCACTCTATGTAGCACTCTATATAGCACTCTATGTTGCACGCCATGTATGACTCTATGTAGCACTCTGTGTATGACTCTATGTAGCACTCTGAGTAGCACTCTATGTAGCACTCTTTGTAGCCAAAGGAATTGGATGCAGACGAAACTTAAAGTAATATGTTTTATTTTTTATTTATTTTTTGAGACCACTTTCTGAACCGACTTTCATTTAAGTTGGAACCTCAGTTCAATTAATGTCATCTCTTTAATAATTGACCGTCTCTCTTTCTTTCTGCTACATTTCGATATGAAAATAAAAGTCTGTCTTTCTTTTTTGAGTTATAATCTATAGGCCACCTTGATTTTGGGAATGATCTATCCGGCACCAACAACCCCCCCCCCACTCCACCCCCAACTAGATCTTTTTAAATCGAACGTCGTCAACAAAAAAAAACAAAAAACAATGCTGAAGCCTGATGGTAATTATCACCAGTATTGAATGAATGTGAACAGGGTGCGCAGTGCGCAGACGTGTCTCTTGCGGTTGTAGTGAAGGGTGGGGCGGAAATCATGGCGCTCTTCCCTTACATTCTGTTAGTTATCAAACCTGACATTGACACCAGAAAAATGAAGTAGCATGACTTTTATTATTATTTATCGCGGTTCGCCACCACTGACAAATTATTTATGACCATGCCTTTCCTCTCATCCCAGCTGACGCCGTTCACCCGTGAGAGGGAGGTGTGTCGTGTACTTCAGAACAAGACCGTCTACTTCATCGGCGACTCCTTCATGCGTCAGGTGTACACGTCAGCGCTGGCCATGTTGCGAGACGGCAAGCCCCGTCACGTGATCAAGGATACTGTACCACTAGGTTTGTAGTATGGTATCTATGCATAGTGGGAGGTCGCATTACATACTTTGTTCAACGAAGGCGGGGTGTTTAGTAGTGAAAGGCTGAAAACTAAGTAATTATATTTTTAACAATAAATTCCCCTGCCTTATGAAAATGCCCTCTATAAATAAATAAATAAATATATATATAATCGTTCTACTTCAGCTTGACATTGTGACCAATCGTTCTACTTCAGCTTGATATTGTGACAATCGTTCTACTTCAGCTTGACATTGTGACCAATGGTTCTACTTCAGCTTGACATTGTGACCAATTGTTCTACTTCAGCTTGACATTGTGACCAATCGTTCTACTTCAGCTTGATATTGTGACCAATTGTTCTACTTCAGCTAGACATTGTGACCAATCGTTCTACTTCAGCTTGACATTGTGACCAATTGTTCTACTTCAGCTTGACATTGTGACCAATCGTTCTACTTCAGCTTGACATTGTGACCAATTGTTCTACTTCAGCTTGACATTGTGACCAATCGTTCTACTTCAGCTTGACATTGTGACCAATTGTTCTACTTCAGCTTGACATTGTGACCAATCGTTCTACTTCAGCTTGACATTGTGACCAATCGTTCTACTTCAGCTTGACATTGTGACCAATTGTTCTACTTCAGCTTGACATTGTGACCAATCGTTCTACTTCAGCTTGACATTGTGACCAATTGTTCTACTTCAGCTTGACATTGTGACCAATCGTTCTACTTCAGCTTGACATTGTGACCAATCGTTCTACTTCAGCTTGACATTGTGACCAATTGTTCTACTTCAGCTTGACATTGTGACCAATCGTTCTACTTCAGCTTGACATTGTGACCAATCGTTCTACTTCAGCTTGACATTGTGACCAATCGTTCTACTTCAGCTTGATATTGTGACAATCGTTCTACTTCAGCTTGACATTGTGACCAATCGTTCTACTTCAGCTTGACATTGTGACCAATCGTTCTACTTCAGCTTGATATTGTGACAATCGTTCTACTTCAGCTTGACATTGTGACCAATCGTTCTACTTCAGCTTGACATTGTGACCAATCGTTCTACTTCAGCTTGATATTGTGACAATCGTTCTACTTCAGCTTGACATTGTGACCAATCGTTCTACTTCAGCTTGACATTGTGACCAATCGTTCTACTTCAGCTTGATATTGTGACAATCGTTCTACTTCAGCTTGACATTGTGACCAATCGTTCTACTTCAGCTTGACATTGTGACCAATCGTTCTACTTCAGCTTGATATTGTGACAATCGTTCTACTTCAGCTTGACATTGTGACCAATCATTCTACTTCAGCTTGACATTGTGAGCAATCGATCTACTTCAGCTTGACATTGTGACCAATTGTTCTACTTCAGCTTGAAATTGTGACCAATCGTTCTACTTCAGCTTGACATTGTGACCAATTGTTCTACTTCAGCTTGACATTGTGACCAATAGTTCTACTTCAGCTTGATATTGTGACAATCGTTCTACTTCAGCTTGACATTGTGACAATCGTTCTACTTCAGCTTGATATTGTGACAATCGTTCTACTTCAGCTTGACATTGTGACCAATCGTTCTACTTCAGCTTGACATTGTGACCAATCGTTCTACTTCAGCTTGACATTGTGACCAATCATTCTACTTCAGCTTGACCTTGTGACCAATCGTTCTACTTCAGCTTGACATTGTGACCAATCGTTCTACTTCAGTGTGACATTGTGACCAATCATTCTACTTCAGCTTGACATTGTGACCAATCGTTCTACTTCAGCTTGACATTGTGACCAATCGTTCTACTTCAGCTTGACATTGTGACCAATCGTTCTACTTCAGTGTGACATTGTGACCAATCATTCTACTTCAGCGTGATTTTCTGACCAGTTGTTCTATTTTAGCGTGATTTTGTGACCAATTATTTTAGCGTGATTTTGTGACCAATTATTTTAGCGTGATTTTGTGACCAATTATTTTAGCGTGATTTTGTGACCAATTATTTTAGCGTGATTTTGTGACCAATTATTTTAGCGTGATTTTGCGACCAATCTTTCTACTTCAGCGTGATGTTGGGACCAATCGTTCTATTGTTTTGTTTACTTTGACTGTATGAGAATGCCTTTTTTGGTAAATGAAAGTATTGCATTGACCTCGCTCTGTTGCTAACGCAAGCATTGTAGCTTAGTGCAACTTCCTTGTTAACTTGAGTACTATTGGTATTGCGGTATCTTGCTTCAAGGGTGAATTAGCCAAGCTGTCTTTGTGGTACTCTGTCGTTGGGGTAATATTGAAGTTAGGTCCACGCCCTAAGTAGGGAAAAACTTTGGTACTGTTACCAGAAATAAACGGGTGGGCTAAATGTCAAGGCCGTGTGCTAAGTGGGGCATTGAGATCTCTTCCAGAAAGACAAACAGAGAGAGCGAAGAGAGAAAGACAAACAGGCAGAGCGAAGAGAGAAAGACAAACAGAGAGAGAGAGAGAGTGATAAACAAAGTGAAAGACGATGAAAGGAAAGACATACGGAAATAAAAGAAAATAAAAACAAATTGGCCAACTGACATGAAAGCAACCTAGAAAATCCATGTACAAAAAAAACACGTTATTTCATTATACGTGTAGAATTGTACCTATGTTTTTGTTAGTTCTAACGGGGTTAATTTCTTTGGGCGCATGACATCCTTTTGAATCACCAGTTTAATTTGTTTAATATTTAAGGGGCGCATTTATTCCCATAATAATATAACTATGTTCTGCTTAAAAATTACTTTTGAAACCATTCGAACTATGAAATCAACGAGTCCGTGGGATGAGTGTTCTATTTTCCTTGTCTGTGAATGCGTTAGCTGAGTCCGTGAAAACGATTTTATAGGTTTCCCCCCACCCCCCAAAAAAAAAAAAAAAAAAAAAACGTTGTACCACGTGACTTATGTGTTACTGGTTTTTAAATATCAAACATGTCAGATGATGGCTTATATTTTTCTGGTGTCGAACCTCCCAGACTTTTGGATGATAGCATTTGTTACTGGTGTCTAGCTTTCCACAATATCGGACGAGGCAAAAGTTAATGGTGTCCACATTTTTAACATGTAAAATGATGGCATAAGTTACTGGCTTCTAGCCTCCGCCATGTTAGATGGGGGCATAAGTTACNCCCCCCCCCCCCAAACCACCACCATAAAAGATAGTTATTTTACTTTCATGATAAGAAATTAAAAAAAAAAAATCAATCATTCAATAATTACTCTTTGTTGATTGACATATTCATGATCATGTAAAACCAACACAGGTTCATGCATGGCTTTCAGTGGATTACGTTGAATAGAAAACTCTGTACGAAGCGAATGAATGACAAACGCCATGCGTGAGGTTTCAAGAGCAAGCTAGATGAAGGGATGCCTACGTCTTGAACGACCAGTCTCTATATATATAAAAAAAAAAAAAAAAATCGTGCTTAAGACTGGTGTGAGCGCGAGGCAGCCTCATTCATGCAAAGTATACAACAAAATAAACTCATCATTACAATCGGCCTAATGAGTCTACACATTATTAATACAATGCCAGGCCCACAACTGAAGACATTCAAGTAACTGTGATAACTGTGACGGATTAGCCCGTTTCCGGTTTCGTACCAGGTCCGCTAGACTTCACGTCACATCACATTAAAATGAGATTATTGAAAAAGTGAAATTTTTAAAACACATCACAGCGCCCGTGTGATAATGCCTCCTCGCACAATTTGGGAACCGCTGTTCTAGGCAATATGTGTAACCAGTAAACTGAAATTGAGAATTCGGCTAGATCTATACGAAGCACATACAAATGGTACAGCTGTGAAGGTGCACACTGTCTTAAAAACTTATAAAGGAAGGGAGAAAAGTAGTATAATTTAACAACTATTTCTGTTAGACTTAGCACGGTGCGTGAATGGATCTGCTCATATTTCTGTGACGCTTAGCACGGTGCATGAATGGATCATCTCATATTTCTGTGACGCTTAGCACGGTGCATGAATGGATCTTCTCATATTTCTGTGACGCTTAGCACGGTGCATGAATGGATCTTCTCATATTTCTGTGACGCTTAGCACGGTGCATGAATGGATCTTCTCATATTTCTGTGACGCTTAGCACGTGCATGAATGGATCTTCTCATATTTCTGTGACGCTTAGCACGTTGCATGAATGGATCTGCTCATATTTCTGTGACGCTTAGCACGGTGCATGAATGGATCTTTTCATATTTCTGTGACGCTTAGCACGGTGCAAGAATGGATCTTCTCATATTTCTGTGACGCTTAGCACGTTGCGTGAATGGATCTTCTCATATTTCTGTGACGCTTAGCACGTTGCGTGAATGGATCTTCTGGATCTTCTCATATTTCTGTGAGGCTTAGCACGGGGCATAAATTATTCTTCTCATATTTATGTGAGGCTTAGCACGGGGCATGAATGGATCTTCTCATATTTCTTTTAGGCTTAGTACAGTGCAAGAATGGATCTTCTCATATTTCTGTGAGACTTAACACGTTGCAAGAATGGATCTTCTCATATTTCTTTGAGGCTTAGCACAGAGCAAGAATGGATCTTCTCCTATTTCTGTGAGACTTAACACGTTGCATGAATGGATCTTCTCATATTTCTATGAGGCTTAGCACGTTGCGTGAATGGATCTTCTCATATTTCTGTGAGACTTAGCCCGTTGCAAGAATGGATCTTCTCATATTTAAGTGAGGCTTAGCACGGTGCATGAATGGATCTTCTCATATTTAAGTGAGGTTTAGCACGGTGCATGAATGGATCTTCTCATATTTAAGTGAGGCTTAGCACGGTGCATGAATGGATCTTCTCATATTTAAGTGAGGCTTAGCACGGTGCATGAATGGGTCTTCTCATATTTCTTTGAGGCTTAGCACGGTGCATGAATGGATCTTCTCATATTTAAGTGAGGCTTAGCACGGTGCATGAATGGATCTTCTCACATTTCTTTGAGGCTTAGCGCGGTGCGTGAATGGATCTTCTCATATTTCTGTGAGGCTTAGCGTGGTGCGTGAATGGGTCTTCTCATATTCTGAAACTTCAAACTTTTAAACAAATAGCATTTTAAACAAATTTAATATTTATACTTGGTGTCTTAAAGTTTTTGTTATAATTCCAATTGTTTTAAAAATATTTAAGAAGATATAACTTCATTGTATTATTTAAAACTAGAAATATATCTTCGATGTAATTTCATTTACGTTATCATTTTTAATAATTTTGTATTCATATTTTTTTTAATCTTTTAGGTGATCTCCTGTAATTTTTATTTTTTTCTTAAGTGGGGCAGCGGACAGATAAATTTTGGGGATCTTTTCGGTGTGGAAATTTTGAGACACTAAGAAAAAAAGCCCTGGCCAAAAATATATATTTAAAAATTACCAAACTGACGGGTCTTCATAAAATTAGGACAATTAAAATATGAATAATTATTTAGAACAAAATTTTGGTCTTAAAAAAATAAAATATAATAGATTGTGTTAGGTCAGAGAAAAAGTCTATCGAATAAATGCCAGAGACAAAACGCCAAGGATCTCCATGATGTACAAGATAAAAATGGACTGGTCCACTGCTCCAGCATAAACATCCCTCTCCCCCCCCCCCCCAGACAGCGACGAGGTCACGACAGGCAGTTCCAGCTCATAAAAACAAAAACTCAGTACAGAAGCTTCTCATTTCTGCCAAAACCAACCAGGGACTGGAATAAGCGTCCAAAAGCAACGGTTGAGGCGAATACATTCGACACATTTGCGTCTATTGCCTCCTGTTCGTCCAACCCCCAGTTCATAATACTATTGCCGATTACCCCTTGCAACCAGTGAAGTATCCCCTTCAAAACCATGCACAGTAACACCACGAACCGCTCTGAAACATAGGAGCCAGAATGATCAATACATTGATCGCGGACCCTCAAAATATAGACAAATATAGAAGAAGAAGAAGATAGAATTCTTTCTTTTTTTTTTATAATGCTTTAAACGTTTGCCACTCCTCCTCGTCCCCCTTTATTTACAGGCCTTCCTTCTACACCAGATCAATAAACATTAAAACCCGTTGAAGTGCCTCCATGGCCGGCCCCGAGTGCATACATACCCGTCTTTGAATGGAGCTAGCTCAAATACCAATTCCACCAAAGACACAAATAGTTAAATGGTATACTGCTAGATCTCCTAAGCCGGCGGTTCTTAACCTGTGGGTCGCAACCCCTTTGAGGGTCGCACGACCCTTTCACAGGGGTCGCCTAAGGCCATCTGAAAACACATATATTCTACAGTTATAAAGTTTCAACGAAAATAATTGTGTGGTTGGGGGTCGCCACAACATAGGAACTGTATTTAATTGTCGCGGCATTAGAAAGGTTGAGAAACACTGTCCTAAACCAACTGCAACAGATTATATCATCTAAAGCTTAAACATCTTCAATCTTTTTCTTTTTTTTAAGGGCAAACATTGAGTGTACTTCAAGTGGTGCTCAGCGAGTGTTCAACATTAAGCACGGTGTTATGATATCTGCGACAGAGTTTCTAGTGTAAAGGGGCACAGCACACGGGTGGCTTTTTTTTTTCCAGAACGCACCATGCCAATAAAATGGTGGATATTATATCCTATAATACGTGTCTACCAGATCAACCAAAAAAAAAGGGGGGGGGGAGATATATTACGAATTACCGGTAATGAGTAAATGAGTAATTTGCCTTTCCCTGTGGATGTTCAAAAAGACGTCTCATTCTCGAGCATGACAAACGGGATATCATCCGTCCAGTGGAGATGTGCTAGTATAATTGGTAAACTAAGTTGCCTGTGTGGCCTCTAACTGTCAAAATAGATGTAAAATGTTGTGGGTTTTTTTTTTTTAACAAGGGAATGAGCTTTGTACTTTAGAATGTCATTTAAGTTCAGAATGCCATTTAAGTTCAGAATGGCATTTAAGTTCCCACTGTCATCACTGCTGCATTAAACTAATACATTAGAATGGGACGTACGTCTGACACTCTGTTTTTTAGCTTAAAGATCTCTTGCCGCCCCGCTCTCAATTAATCGTTTATAAAAATTGCAATTGCTGTTGTGCGTTGCTGTATACCGTATCTATAAGTCCGGGTTGCTGTATATCTTATCTATAAGTCCGGGTTGCTGTATATCTTATCTATCCGGGTTGGTATATTTTCGATTAGACAGGCGTTGTCTAGAAGAATGCTTAGGTAATTGTTTAATTCCGAAGTACACCACATGCGTGTTTCGTACTCGGCACAATAACAACAAAAATTATCGACAGACGTTCTTTAGAAAGCGGGCCATGAATTTTACGTTGTGCCGTTAACACATCTCATCTCATGACGTGAGGGGAAAACGGGTGTCCTGAGCTCAGCGCTCTAAAAGATTCGTAACACCTCGTCCTTGTTGCATGAATTATTGGCCCACCCCAGGAGGCTCTAGACTTAGCAACGCCGATGTTGAAAAAGAATTTTTACACCACCGCAGAGTGCAAATGGTAACCCGGTATGAAACAATTTCCGGCGACCTGAGTCGATGTTCAATAAGGTCCACTCTGACGTCGTGACGCCTTCCCCACAGCCGAGATTCAGGGTTAGGGGGTGGATTTCCCCTCAAATCTGGGTTAGGGTTAGGGGGTGGATTTCTCTCAAATCTGGGTTAGGGTTAGGGGGTGGATTTCCCCTCAAATCTGGGTTAGGGTTAGGGGGTGGATTTCTCTCAAATCTGGGTTAGGGTTAGGGGGTGGATTTCTCTCAAATCTGGGTTAGGGTTAGGGTTAGGTTCAGGGTTAGGGTTAGGGGTGGATTTGCCTCAAATCTGGTGGCCGTGAGAGGGATCGGCGCCCCACATGTAAAGAATCTGTTTCAGTTGCCAACTATTCACTATCACTGCGGGCCGCCTCGCAATCCGACGTGAACTTAACGAAGAAGGTGGCGGAGAAATACAAAGTACAAAGTGGTGCTAGTTTTTTATTTTATTTATTTTTTACTCGACCTAAAATAAATCTGTCCTAATAGCCCTACATAAACAGATGATGTTTTTTTTTTTTTTTGTTTTTTTAATTTGACCACAGTTAACGTGACCAATTGTGACAAGTATTTCCGCTACCTGGCACCCTGTGGGTATTTCTTGATCTTGGATTCACTAGAGTGCAATGGAACAGTAAGTCCTCGCTGTGGTCAGCTACACAACCTCTATAGCTTAGCAGCTTTTAAGCGACAAATATATTTTATTTATTTGTTATTATTTTTTTCTGAGGGGTTGTTTGTTTTTGTTTGTTTTTGTTTGTTTTTGTTTGTTTTGTTTGTTTTTGTTTGTTTTTTTTTTTTTTTTTTTTTTTTTTTTTTTTTTTTTTTTTTTTTTTGTTTTTTTTTGGGGGGGGGGGGAATTGTTGGTATGATCAGACGTAGATTCGTCTACGACTAAAAAGATATTTCTGTCATTCACGCGTGTAAAATCCGATATTGTGAAATACTAATTTGTTGGTCTCCTCATCTAAATTTAAACTCCGCATATTTCATAACAGACGAGGCTGAGCATGAGACATTTGTACCGGGTCACGGAGGTCGACCGTCTGTTCAAGGCCGTGCGGGAACTCAACGGCACGGTCAACTCCTGGCTGGTCGTGGGCATCGGAATTCACAACTTGTACAACATGACGGCCATCCGGCAAGCGGTGAGTTCACACGCGGCTTTAGAATCTGACCTGGTGCCGACTCACCTATCCGTTCTGGAGATGATTGCTAAATAGAACAGTTGAAAGGAACCATGTGCACCTTTGTCGGTGTCGATAAAGAAATATCGGGGTCCTGCGATATTGTCATTTGATTCATTAATTATCTTTTTTTTTAAATGCAGTTAAAATTCAATACGATACCAATAAGTGTCATTAATCACTAACAGGTGAATTTAAAAAATATATATATATCGTAAGTATATTCGGTTGAAAATTTAATAATTTGTTTTTTTTAAAAATCACGTATTTCTATTAAATACTTGACGGTTACCACTGAACAGTAAATAAAGATTGTGGTGAGCGTTTATGTTCCCATTCATGCCACATTCATGCCACATTCATGCCACATTCATGCCACATTCATGCCACATTCATGCCACATGCATGCCACATTCATGCCACATTCATGCCACATTCATGCCACATTCATGCCACATTCATGCCACATTGAAATCACAATTGGCCCAATGGTTCTGTGCAGGTATTAAGACTCTCCTCCAATAAAGATTAGTTTCAACTCCCCCCCCCCCCCCCCCCCCCCCGCTCCTACCCATGGCTTGTGACGCGACAAGACTGGCATTAGAAGCAACTGGAAATGTTTGAGAGTATTTATTATGTAGCACGGAACATTACTCCGTCTCATTTGACTCATTCAAAGTTGACGCTGAAAAAATAAAAAGTTGTTGAAATTCGGCATCTTTCTGTGTATGTGTGATGTTGATGGTGCTGCACTTGGTGGTGCTACACTTGGTGGTGCTACACTTGGTGGTGTGTGTGTGTTACCGATGTTGGTTGTGTTACACTTGGTGGTATGTGTGTTAGCGATGTTGACTGTGCTACACTTGGTGGTATGTGTGTTATGCATAAGCGTTTTCACCGAAAGATACGCCATGAAGATATTGAAGCTAACGAGATCGTGACGGATGGCAGTCTTGATGTTAGCTTCTTCCTAGTTGTGTTTTGCTGACCGGTGTCAGGACACTATCTCAAAAACCTTCCACAAACACCCCCCCCCCCCTGAGACGAAATCAAACTCATCAGATTAACATAACCAAAAAAACAGCCACGAGATATAACGAACAGCCAGGAACATATTAGATTTCCATCGTATTAAACCAATGGCTGAAACAATGTTCCACAGCCGTTGCTTTTAAAACAACCAATCACCAGTGAAGGAATAAATTATACATTCATTTTGAAATTTTACTAACAATACATTGAATTTAACTAAATTTTTTTTTTTTTTTAATCATACTTCCTATCAGGCAATCGACCCCATGTTGAAACTGCTACAGAACTCCAAGTGGCCGAAACTTATTTGGATGGCGGCACAATCACCTGGGCTGCTAAAAACCGGATCTGAGAAAAGGCAACAGAGTCAGGCGATACTGGATTATAATGAAAAGCTGAAATCTATTTTCGGTCCTCTGGGAATCCCCATCATGAACTTTTTCCAACTCACCAAAGGGGTTTTTAGTTTCGATGGCGCTCACTACGGCAAGGGTCTGAATGACGTCAAAGTCAACATTCTGCTCAATTTTTTACAGCAAGAAACTACAACATGATAATGATACTGAGTTTTAAGTTTCTTACATTACTGCAACTATTTTTTTTCCCTTGACTTAAAGTTATATTTGTTTGTTTTTTTAATGTATTAAATGTATTAAAAAATATAGATATTCTTTTGTTCTCATTCGAGTTAAAATTATAATTGGGGGGGGGGGAGGAGAGAGACACAGACTATTGCATAACGATACGACCGGGGTGAGATGTTAATACACACGTAAAGACATACTTTTTAAAACCTCCACACACATTAACCACCCCCCTGCCCCCAGTTATACAAAGTTCACCTTCACTCAAAACCTCTCTGCCACCATTGGGCCATAAACCGAGGCCTCGCTGTCACCTACAGCTGTGAGCAGACACTGTAGTGAGACAACTCGTCTTATCGCTTACCTTTGGTGTGGTCTTAGCCGACAGCACGCATCAAAGCTACGAACTAATTCATTAATTTATAATTTAACGATGACTGGGTCCTAAAGTTTTTACTATTGTCTGGTGTAAATTTTTTTTTTTTTTTTTTTTTAGGCTGTTTGTGTGTGTTTTCTTAAAAAATCTGTAATATCTATTGCCTACTTTTAAGTTGCTGTAATCTCCACTCCCATGCACGCACTCTGTTATATTTCAGTAATATGAGTTTTAAATAAACTGTGATTAAGAACTAAAATTAGGAACCATCTACTCCATGAACAATTGAATTTTTAATACCAATTTTTATTACGATATTAAATACCAATATAAGATATCCATTTTCAGAGAAGAACCTCTGAAACTTGGATCGCTAGCGGCCAGTGATGAGGGACCATCAAATCTGACGTGAAATTAAAGGGGCGTAACTGAAGGTGGAACTTTTTTTTTTTTTTAAAGACAAAAAAGAAGAATCATATCCCTTTATATGAAAATAGTTGTTGCCCATCACACGCAACACTGTCCTCTTGAACACATTCTCAAAACTAAAAAAAAAAACGAAGTGTCAATTTGATCGGGGTGGGAGCGGAAATCAACTGCACCATAGGCGTGGGCGTGGCCTCGCTGAGCCATATCTCAGAAAAAATGTTAGATGAATTTAAAATTCAGATGAAAGTTGGAACATGCCGTGCCTGAAGTTAATATTTAATCATTATGCACTTCATCGAAGAGCAGCAGCTGAGATGCAATGAATTTTAGGTATCCTTGACTACGACAAATCCGTTATATTTCATTAAATACTGACGTCATTAAATAAAGTGGCACTCGTTATTTCGCCCTTGATAACTACACGCTAGGTTTTCATATCCTTGGGTTATAAGCCTGGTAACAAGGGGAGAGACTGCAGTCAGGTTAGCGAAGTAGGAAATTAGTGAAACAAAGTGAGTTTAAACCTGAAAAAAAAGGAACACAACAAAACAACGAACGCATGGGTAGGAAGCATTCGTCAGCGAACAAACAGAAGAAAAACAACAGAATAAAAATAAAATTAAAAAAGAGCAATTAGCTGAGAAGTAAGAGTAAATTGCTAAGACATTCTTTTTTTTTTATCGTTCAGAAATAATTAATTTATATGAATATTAAACCAACAGGTTTCATTAAGCTGATAGGCTGATAGGAATTAAACTTTTTTTGCCAACATATATTAGCATTAACAAAGGTGTGATTAAAAAAAATGAATCTTTTAAAATAATATTTATAATAAATTTACCAAAAAAAACAAACACATGACGTCTATTGCACACTTTATTTGTCTCATGGTTAACGGCGATGCAATAATAATTGAACATAATGAAACCAAGCACATCTGTAATGCTACTGTCATGAACAAATAAGAACGAAGTGAGATTTGGCACAAAACACTTACATTGTTAATACAGTCGGATTTACAAATCAAGTAGACATTGAAAAATGAGTATGAAAAAACAATGTTAATACTTTTTTTTTAAGCATAAATATTTCAAAAAACATTAAATAAGAAATGGTTTAAGTTAACTCTATACAGTCCAAGTGTCAGATAATAATGGATGGAGAATCCGTGCAATCCAAGAGGTATATCAAAGACCCACCCATAGTGGCAGCTATTTTTTTTTTTTTAAAAGGCAGACTCCGCTGGACCTTAAGAGGATGCCGCATTGTAGAGCAGCAAAGGTGATCTATGGGCAGACGGCTCACTGGTCAGACAAGACCGAGGTGGACTGACGATGTCCAGAAGGACATACATCAGCTGAAGGGGGGGGGGGTATGTGCATGAAGGCGGAAAGCCTGGTTAAGAGGATGCCGCAGTGTAGAGCAGCAAAGGTGATCTATGGGCAGACGGCTCACTGGTCAGACAAGACCGAGGTGGACTGACGATGTCCAGAAGGACATACATCAGCTGAAGGGGGGGGGTATGTGCATGAAGGCGGAAAGCCTGGGATCAGCCCGAATGGAAGCATGTGGTTGAGCAGGACAGGGCTCTACATGGCCTGTAATGCCACTGATGATGATGATAAGTTAACTTTTCTTTTTCTAATTAGGTGTCTAGAACAAAAAAAAGTTGGTAAAATACATGTTTATAGCTTACAAGGGCTGCAAGGGTTTTAATCCAAAAAGTTTTTTATACAGAAGAGCCTACGAATAAAATATAAACTTCTAGGAGTGAGAAATTCAATGTAAGAATTCATGCATGTACATAACTAATACTAATACAAATACAAGTCCTGTTCTTGGCTGGAAAAATTTTGCTCTCAGCAAAAACAATTGTTTTTAAAAAAACATTCTTGAAAGCAAACTTATACATGTTTTTTTTTCCACATGCTTACAAGACGGCAATTTAAAATTTATTTTATATTTTCAATGATATTGTGGTTCATTGGTAGCACGGATCACGGATCATTTCTGTTTTTTAAAACGTTTTGTTTTATAATAATTAATGTAAATTTTTTTTTTTTTAAGGTGCTTTCTAGGGAGAGTCTTAAAAAGTTGGATTCCTTGATGACCTTTTTTTATATTAACGAATTATTATTTCTTTTAAGATCATCAACTGCTTCTCTGTTTTAAGCAAAATTCTATAAAAAATGTTTTTCATACCTTTTAAAGTCTTTTACCTTAAGCAAACATTTTTGATAGTTTAAACTCCTGTCTACAGTGAACTAATTAGAAGAAAATTTCCATGAATTCAAACAAAGGCAAGATATGAGCAATTTGGTGGATCAGTGACACATGGAGCTGGTGTTATTTTCCATTATTTAAAAAAAATACCAAAAAAAACCACTATTATATAGCTTTGAATACATGATTAATATGTCAAGTAGAAAATCCTTTTTTAATGATCCAAATACACTTACATTATTAATACATCAAAGTACGAAGACAATTAACACAAGTCTGTATTTTCACATAACATTGAATGCAAAAGAAAAAATAATTTAGTTGTAATGATGTCGAGTATAAAATGCCAGAGTAAAGTATTACCTTGCTATATGTGACTATGCCAATTAAAATTGACAAGCATTGAAAAGACAGATTAAAGAACATATATAATATTTCGCACCAAGTCAAAAAGTAGAGAAATTAAAGAGACGACAATACAATTATGTAAAGGTTTCCGTTTAAGCCATACAAAACAAACTAAAAGGAATGTATCAATACTTTCATTTACAATATTCCCATCTGCTCTATTTTGCCTCAGTTTATCAAATAATTTTTTTTTTAAATGTGTCATTAGAAATTGGTTTGTGAAGCCAATTTTGTAATAAGCAAAGACTAACAATTATATTAATAATTCACATGCATTTTAACATTATTTCTCATTAAGTATTCAAATATACGGTTTCTCCCCAAATACTGGTCACTATTTTTCTCAATCAATTTGTAATAAGCACCTGGAGACACACTAAAAGTTGATTGATAGGGGGAAATATTTACATTTTCAAATATTTCTTCCAGAATTAATTATTTTTGATCAAATATCATCAAAGTTGTAAATAATAATAATATAATCAAAGATATCTTCTTTTCAAACATAATAATAACATGCCCTCTACTCAGTGGCTGTTTTGAGCAAAGGAGTTCTGCGCCCATCAATTTTAATAATAAATGTTTTTGGTCAACTTTTTTAAAGGGCATAATGCAGAACTGAGCACTTTGTATCATGTTCACTTTATTAAAAAATGTATGGTCCCTTCCCCCTAATCTCCATAAAAACTGATTTTTTAATTATTAGCCATTTCATTATTATTTATATTATTGTTTTTAAAGATTGTCACACAATTGGAAAAAAGTTGTAGATGTAATTGTCATGGGGAATTTAATAACAATTAATGTGGATTTTTTTTGTGCTGGCATTAATTTAAAAAATGTAACTATAAAATTAACAATTTGATTGTTAAAATAAGAATGTTACATGTTTAATATGCTGACGTCAGCAAAATTTTACCCTTTTGGAATAATAATAACATTAATAAAGTGTATGATTTCAAAAATGATGACAAAAAAAATATGAAAATCTTAGATGACACTGGTGGCATGGTGAAGACAATATTTAATTACACCTACAGTAACAGCTACACTTTCTTGGAGAGTCATAACAATACTATTTGGATAATAAGATATTATTATCAATACTATCTTGGATAGCATGGATAGTATTGTCAACACCATCCATGATGACATGGGTAGCACAGTCAAGACCACCTCTGCTGACACTTAAAGTTTTGTGAATTCAAACCTTGTACATGAATTCCCTTTATATGACTAAAGATCAAACTTTATGCATATTGTGTTAAATGTGGTTAATGTGCATGATGAAAGGTGGCCATTGCTTTCCCTCTTTTGAGAACAATTATTGAATTATTACAAAACAGTCCATTCCATTTGTCAACAGCGTCAACATTTGAATATCACATCCAGTAGAAAGGCACACAAACTCTAGAGATGGTTTCTTTTTTTTCTAAAGAGACAAAACAAACATAAGATTGCCAGACTGCAGCAATTGTATTTGTTGTTGGTTTGTTTGGATTTTTTTTTTTTTTTTTTACTTTATGTAACAGGTAACATTGGTCAGTAACTGTAAGAAGAGTAAAAATGAAGGCTACACATTGAGGTGTGTTTGAAAGACAATCTAAAATTTCCACACCTTGAGAGGAAGACAGCAA